CTAAGCATAAGTCGAAGCGTGTAGTTCCTTCACAATTACGAATATTATACAATTGCATCGTCTACTATAGTTGCTGAAGCCTCTAAGCATAAGTCGAAGCGTGTAGTTCCTTCACAATTACGAATATTATACAATTGCATCTTCTACTATAGTTGCTGAAGCCTCGAAAATGTTGCGTTGAATTCGACGACGTGCTTGAGGTCGCTCTTCTTCTTCAACCTGCTCAGGATTCCCGGCGACTTGATCAAATGGCTGCTGTATTCCAACAACTGGGCGACCTACACCTCGTAGCAGTGCACGCTCGTGTCGTGTACGCCCGCCTCGACGACCTCCTCGAACGCTTCGATTGAAGAGCTTGCGGGCCTTCTTCGACATGCCAGGTAGTAGTCGCTCAGTTGAGTCGGCAACAGCGATTACATGCACGCAAATTCCAAAACGAACCCAAAATCTGCAATTACACCTTGAGTGTTCGGTGTCAACTGTCCAGCCACCTATGAGTCATTGAGTTTTCCAGGTAACTGACTTTATTGATTACTCACCATCAGGTTGATCGAGCAGCTCCAAGTGGTGCACGTTGCGGTTGAGGTATGTCAACAGCAAGTGATTGGTGCGAGGAGGCTCTTGCAGTTGTGGATTGCCTTCGATGTCAGCTTCCACGTTGTGATGGCGTACTGTCCAAGTTGCTGGATCATCTTGAGGGTTTCGATGCACTTCAAATGCCTCGTTCTTCTTCTGTAAGTTGTAGTGTTGCAACAGCCGTCTTGTCACGCGTGGCTCCGTCCAGAATTGACTGTCACGCTCAGACTCTTCATGCAGTATGCGGGTAAGAACTTGAATGAAGTGAACCAACTTCAGGCGCTGGTGTTCAAGTTCCTAAGACCATGTTGCCCGTTAGTTAGCGTTGAACGTAGCAGTACCTTCTTGGTAACAGCGTTGAATTGCTCATTGGGTTGTTTGTGGTTGCAGCGCCTTGATCCGTGTGAAACGTTTGCCCCCTCCAAAACCGGTTTTCTGTATCGTTGGGTGGTGCACCTGGCATAATCGGAGCAAGCATCCACAGGCGGAAAAATTTCAGCATGAACTTTCTCACACGCTGCGACCTTTCTCTCCACTTAGCTTCGACAATGCGGGCAGCACTGTCGAGGTGAACACGGTCGTGCGTGGTGTGTAAGAATAGATATCCCTTGAAATATCGTCCCATTCAGACCATGTCAACTTGCAGTTGACGGCATAATCTCTACACTGCATTGTCGTGTGAAAGGTATTGACCGAGTGGTATGATATCTCAAACGCTGTACCTTTTTCATCACATGGAAGAAGCACATGATGTACTTCGTTGATTCGCCAAATTGGTCTTGCACACCGTTGAATTGAGCAACATCTGCATCACCCATTACAAACGGGGGAGCGAACTGGTGAGCGCAGTAGACTTGAAAGGCTATTTTGAGAGATCTCAGCAGCCAAGAGACGTCGTCAGCCGTACGCTGGGAAATGATGGCAATACAAATGGCATGGAAGCATCCTCCAAAGTCAGATTATCCAATGACAAAAACGGGATATCTAGGCATGTTCAAGTTGAACGTTGTATCCATGTGAACGACCACACGAATACCAGGGTTGTCTGTGACAACGCGACAGTAGCGTTGCAGCAACGAGCGGCTGGTTAGTCCTAACGAAGTTTCAGTGCTTGAACAGACAACAAGCACACTCACCAATGCGAAGAGAGTCGATGTAGGAACCATCACCAAGGGCACATCTGTGTTCTCTCATCAGCACACCAAATACGAGGGGGTCATTCGAACACATTACAGCCGCTAATCCTGACTGCTGCAACTTCAACAAGATAGCGCAAACAGCATCGTCTGTATCCGCATGGCCCAGAACCGACGCCCTCAAATGTTTGGATGTATGGGCGACTTGAACA